GGTCTCTGTGTCTGTTTTTGTTCCAGTACCTTGTTGTTTTTATTATTATGGCTTTGTAGTATAGTTTGAAATCTGGGAGTGTAATACCTCTGTTCTTTCCCCTTTTAGTCAGGAGAACTTTGGCTATTGTGTTTTTTTTTGTGTGTGTGATTTTATATGAATTTCAGCATATTTATTTCATTTCCTTGAAGAATACCATTAAGCTTTTTATTGGAATTGCACTGCTTGCACTGCTGTTGGGAATGTAAACTGGTCCAGCCACTATGGAAAGTGTGGAGATTTCTCAGAACACTAAAAATGGATCTACCATATGATCCAGCAAGTCCAGTCCTAGGAATCTACCCAAGGAACACAAAAACACTAATTTGAAAGGAAACCTACATTCCTGTGTTTATTGCAACACTGTTTACAATAGCCAACATATGGAAACAACCCAAATGCCCCAAAACAGAGAAATGGCTCAAAAAGTTGTGGTAATCTCACAAAGGAATACTACTCAGTGATCAGAAAAGACAAACTCATGCCACTTTTGGCAATGTGGGTGGAGCTGGAAGGGATTATGCTAAGCAAAATAAGTCAGAAGGAAAAAGATAAATATTGGATGTTTTCACTTACACGCAGAATATAGAGAAACTGAACAAAGTGTCAAGAAAAAGACAGAACTTGCAAGGTGAACATAGCTCTGAGGCACACAGCAGGGTAGGAGGAAGTAGAAGGTTCAAAACAGGGGAGGGAGGAGCACAACTGACTGTGGTGATAGATCATGGGTTTTATGGTGGTAGGAAAACTACAGGGACCACATCTGAGAGGAGAAATCAAATACTATCCCAAAGTTAACAATGTAAGAATATAAATAAATTTAGTGGAAAAAAATAGATAAAACAAGTAACAGTATCTGGATTTCTACCACTTGGAGATCACCACTGCCTGATAGGCGTTGTTCTGGCAATCTCTCCATGTCTATGAAGATACTGCATACCTGCAGTTTTCCAACTTGTTTTTTCATCCACTAATATGTCAAAGCCACCTTTCAAAGTTGTATCTATCGATTCATAGCTCCCTTTAATGATTGCAGGGGATTTTATGTTTGACATAATTTAACGAATTCTTCTTTGATGGACATTTAAAGGAAATCTCATTTTTGTCAACTGTTGTAACTTCCTGAAAAAACCTCTTTGAATGTACATCTCTGTGCGCTCATTATCTTCTCTTAAAATGTTTTTATTATGAAAATTTTTAGATATATACAGAAATATGATAGTGTGATGGGATCCCATATGCAATAGTTAACAATATTCTATTTTAAAAAATCTTCACTTTCATAGTGATTTTTCTTTCTTCAGGGTGTTTGCACACAAAAACCAGTTCGTTATATCATTTCATAGATATATACCTCTGTCTTTTAAGATAAGAACTCAAAAACGATAATAGCAAACAAAATTAACATTAATTCCTGGTGTTTTTTTACTGTTATGCAAGTCAGGATTCATGCAAGATCTAAATGTGGCATTGGTTAACATTTAAGTTTTTAATCTTCCTCTCCTTTTTATCCTTTTGTTGTTGTTGAAGAAACCAAGTCGTTTATTCCATAGAATTCGCCACAATCTGAGTGTGGTGATGGCCTCCTGACATGGTATTTTAACATGTTTTTCCTCACACATCAAAACCTAGAATGGAGTGAGAGCTGGAAGCCTGATTCCTTCCTTAAGGCTGATGATGAATTTCGAGTGGTGTTAGCCCCTGAGGTCTCTATTACAAAGTTTCTCAACAATCTTTTGCCTCATGATTTTGGAATTCTTTTATGACCATTGCTTACATTATTTCATTAGGGTTTTTTAAATGATGATTTTTAGTAACTTTTTATTTTGATGTAATTTTAGATTTGCGTGCATTTGTTAGCAACAAGACTTATCTCCTTCACCCAGTTTCTCCTAGTAATAAGATCTGGAGAGTAGTCCACTGTCACAGTCAGGATATTGACACTGATACAATTCATAAACTGTATTCAGATTTCATTAGTTTCACATGCACTTGTGTGTGTGCATGCACTGCATATGCATTTAGTTTTTCACATATGTAGATAAATGTGGCTAATACTATAGTCAAAACTCATAACATTTCAATCACAAGGATCCCGCATGCTATGTTTTTATGGCCATAGTCACTACTTTCCCTCTCTGCTCCCTATCCCTGCCAACAGACATCTGTTCTCCATTTCTATAATTTTTTTTGTTACTAGAAGGTCATATAATTGGAACTACATGGTATGTATGTCACCTTTTGAGATTAACTGTCATTTAGCTTAATTCCCTTGAGATGAATTAAGATTGCTGTGGTTATCAATAGTTTATTTCCTTTTTTATTACTGAGTAATATTACTTATTACTGAGTAGTGTTTCTTTTTTTTTTTTTTTAAAGATTTATTTATTCATGCATACAAGAACCGGGGTACAGGCCAGATGTTCAGGAAGGTGAGAGGATTCACCAGAAACAGAGTGGCGAACAGAACAGGCAGACTGACAAAATACACTGCTGAGGGGAGCAGCGGGCGAGACAGGAGAGGTCTGCCGTGCCATGTGGGATTCTCGCCGGCCGGCCTGCATTGAACCCACGCTGCAGAGGCTGTGGACAGCTTCACAGCACTGTGTTCAACTGCCTGCACCACCAGGGGAGGCCCAGAGTAATATTTCTTAATACCACATTCTGTTTAACCATTCATGTGTTGGATGACATTTGGGTTGTTTTCCACCTTATATACTTAACATAGGAATATACTATGAAGATTCAGATATAAATTTTTGTGTGAACAGAAGTTTTTGTTTCTCTTTATTAATACCTGAGAATAAAAGGGCTAGGATATATGATAAGCATGTGTTTATTTTTTTTTTTTGAGAAACTGCTGTTTTGTTTTTTGCATGAATAATGTAATGAATAAGGGATCTAGTTTCTTCATTCCCTCATTAATCTGTGTTATCACTGTATTTTAGCCTTTCTGATAGGCATGCAAATAAAGATTTCTAAATTCTGTCATTCTTTGAGTGCTTTTTAGCTGTAAAAAGCTTTTTTTTTTTTCTGTCAGCTATTTGGTAGCCTTGAAATACGGTCTGTTATAAGACAGACATAAAATATTTTATTATTTTTCTCATTTCTTTACAGTCCCCCCACCACCTTGCTAACCCAGTTTTCAAGAATACAAATAAGTGTCTTATTATCTTCCACAGTGACATTTGCCTTTTTAAAAAGTATCATGAGCTCAAGGATTTTTAAAACATAAATTGTGATTATCTTCTTAGGGTAAGTTATTAGACAAGAAATTGTCATGTCAAAGGCGACAAATTTAAAATTTTGACACATTACTGCACTCCCAAAAAGCTATCCCATTTTATGTTCTTAGCAATAGTATATAAAAATATTTCTCCATATCTTTGCTAACACTAGTTTGACCAGTTTTAATTTTTTTAAAAAAAGATTTTATTTATTTTTGTGTAGAAGAATTGGGGCTTAGTCCAGAGGTGGAGGGGGTGACAGGATTCACCAGAAACAGAATAAGGAGCAGGACAGGTGGATTTGATGAAATACACTGCTGAGGGGAGCAGCAGGCAAGACAGGAGAGTCTGCTGCATGGTATGTGGGTTAGCTTCCTGGCCAAGGATGGAACTCGGGCCGTAGAGGTGATAGTCCTGGACCTTAACCCCTAGGTACCAAGGAGGCCCGTAATTTTTTTTTTAACTTACTAATATGATGGCAATATTGTTATATTACTGGGTATATGCTGTTCTTTGAATGCTAGTATAGTTGGTCATCTTTCATATTATTTTTTGGTAAAAATTTTAGCCAATTGCCTATTATTTACCTTTATCCAAGTTAGGATATTGGTCTTTTCTTACATTTTATGTTGTTACATATATCAACTTTTTCCTTGATGGTTACTGAGTTTCTTTCCTACTGTAAGAAAAATATTATCCTTTTTCTTGTAACATTCTATGATTTTACAGTAAAGTTAAATATATGTATGGCTTATGTTTCTATAAAGAATGATGTAAGAATACAGCATTACTTTTTCATAGTCATCTGACCGGTTTTCCCTATGCCATATATTAAATAAATTATCTTTCTCCCACTAATGTGAAATACCTGTATTTATTTGTTATACTGTATTTATTTGTTAATTTTGAGTCTGTTTTGAGTTTTCTTTTTTATGTTCTGCTGAACACAGTAATCTATTCTTGCATCACTATCACAATTAAAATTACTATAGATTGATTTTTATTTAAACTTTTTGTTACTGGATTCTGTAAATGTATGAAATCACACAAGCTTTTTCATATATTGCTTGTCTGTGTTTGACTACTCCTTTATAATGTGTTTTAATAATCGATGTCACTATCTGTATTGTTACAATTTTTCTGACTAAGCTTCCAAATGTGTTCTTCCAGATGGATTTGTGACAAGTTCCCCAAACCATCTTTTTATATTTTTATTGGGATTTTAGTTAATTTATAGATTAATTTAGGGAGAATAGATTTCTTTACAATTTTGAGCCTTAAGAACAAGGTCTGTCCACTATTGAAAGTTGTGTGGAGGGCACTCAACTTACTAAAAATGGAACTACCCTATACTCTATTACCCAGCAATTGCACTCCTAGGAATCTACCCAAGGGGCAGAAAAACATTATTTTGAAAGAAAACCTGTTCTCCTATGTTTATTGCAGCACTATTTACAATAGCTTAGGTATGGAAACAACCTAAATGCCAAAAAACAGATGACTGGATCAAGAAGATGTGAGATATATACATATACACATACACACATACATATACACACAATGGAATACTACTCAGCAATAAAAAATGAACAGCGATATAAAAAATAAATAAACAAATTTTTAAAAATAAATCCTCAATTTCAGAAAAAAAGAACAAGTTCTATCATTTCATTTGATCAACAAATTTTATTAAAATTATTATTTTAATAATATTTATTGTTAATTTATCCCTAGGTTTATTGTCTTTGGTTTCTCTGTTCTTCATCTGAGGATTGCCTTTTAAACCTGATGAGGTTCATCTTTTAAAAAGTAGGTCAAACTTTTATAATTTATAATATTGGTTTTCTAGGATATCTGCCTCCCTAAACTAGGAGACTATATTTCCCACAGTCCTTGAGGTAAAGTAGGTAATAGTTTTCTTCTAATAGTAGCTAGCTTTGTAACTGGGTATAAATGAAAGCAAATTTGTGACAAAGATGACAGTATGTTATTGACCCAAATTATATTTTAATGCAATTTTGGAGTTTCTGATAGAAAATTTCAGTGATTGAAGTATGATATTTGGGCAGCTTTTTATTAAGTGCAAAACACAAATCTACAATTACAAAACAGTTTCATAAATCATGCATATATCAGCCAGACTTTTAGGCCATTTATGATTTATCTCATTGCTACCAAGAATCTGGTATCTTTATCTGCTGCCTTCATAAAACATAAATTGTTACTAATATAATCAAAATACCTATATACTTTTCTCTAACTGCATAACCTATACTTTATATTAGCAAGAACAACTGATTATCTCCTTTTAAACATAATAAACACTATGCTTTTGAGCTTTATACAAATGGTAGTGTACTCTGATTCTTCTGCAACTTGCCTTCTTTCATTCACCATATTTTTGAGATTTATCTATGCTGATGTGTATTATTCTAGTTCATTGATTTTTTTTACTCCTTGCATTACTCCATTGTATGAACAAACCATAATTTACTTATCTGTTCTATTGATAGGCATTTAGTTGTTTTAAGCTTTTTGCAATTAACAATGTTATTAATAATGTGTTTTATAGTTCTTATTGTGTACATATATGAGAGGGTCCCAAGAATACCTACCTGTAACTGAAACTGCTAGACGGAAAGGTATGTATATCTTAAACTTTACTAATTATTGCCAAATTGTTTCTAAAAGTAGTACCATTTGAATGCTTCTATTCACTGGTTAAATTCTCATTGTTGTACATTTTTGCCAGCATTAAGTATTGTCAGATTTTTTAATTTGTCATTTATTTATTATTGTTATTACTAATTTTTACAAATTTATTTAATTTGATGAGTGATGTATGTACTTCGTTATTTTGAATTTCCCTAATTATTAGTGAGTTTGAGCATCTTGTACTTATTAGTATTATAGGTATTTTTTTATTAGTACCTATTATGTATTTTGACTGAAAATTGTATTGAAAGTTGAAAGTGGCATAAACTGTTTACACTAGATAATAATATACCATAATTTTATTTTTAAAACATTGCCAACTTTGCAGATTTTTGGAGGAAATAATTTGGGTTGAACCCAATAGCATATTAGACAGAACATGGACTTTGGAATTGAATGAATGCTTGAATCCTGGCTCCATTTTTAATCAGTTTTATGATCTTGGGTAATTTATGCAGTTTCCGATAATGTTTCCTCATCTTTAAAATGCATGCAATAACTCATGGTTTGAAACTAGAATTAAATGAAATAAAGTTAACACCTGACACATTGGACCAGTACATTCTTTTAGGATGAAACCAACATTCTCAAGCAATTGTATGAAAACTGGATAATACCATGGCTTACTTAAATAAACCCTGAAATCTGGCAGCACTTGTAAGATTAAAATGTGACCTGTTGAACATGACATATTGAGACCTCAAGGGAATATAACATCACAAGGAGAGAACTGTCCAGAATCCAGCCAAAAAAGAAGTGGAAGATTTTATGTTCTATCAGATATAGATCTGGTTCAAAATTAACATGAAAAAGAGTCAAAAAATGTCAGAAAAGCAGAAAAACAAGTCAAAGTGCTACAAGAGAACTCTGAAAAGCTAATTAAAGAGATACAGCAAAATTCATAAAAACAAATAAAAGGCATGAGAAATAAAATTAACATAAAGAAAATAAAAATCAAGATGTTAAGAAAATAACAGAGTTTCAAGATGTAAAATGATCAATATAGATAAAAGATTCTGGAGGAAGTTATGGAAGTAGAATAGACTAAATGGGAATTTTGAATCAGAGACCTCAAAGATAATAATGTAAAAAGGACCCAAGTGGGAGAATAAAAAGAGCTACTAAAAAAAAAAAAAGGAACATTTCAGAAACATTCACTCCTTTGGGAGAGGTAACATAAGGATAATGGGAATTCTAAAAATACCTGGTTAAATGTAATGGGACCTACACCAAGACATATAGTAGCAAAACTACCAAGAGTTCAAGACAAAGAAAGAATAGTGAAAGTGCTTGGCGTGGGGGTTGGGCAATAGGTAAAATGTTCTCCCACTAGACTTATATCAGATTTCTCTGAGGAAACCATATAAACAAGAAGAGAATGGAATGACATATTCAAATACTTTCAAAGTGTTAGTATGAGTTAGTATTCTTCTATACTGCAAGACTGTCCTTCAGATATGAGGCAGAAATGAAGTCCTTTCCAGTTTGAGGAGTTTACAATCACTAGACATCTCCAATGATATATGTTGAAAGGTGCTCTCCTGTCTAAATTGAAGAGAAGAAAATCTACAAAAACTGAACAAGGAAATAAATAGAAACAGAATACTAAAAACAATGGCAGTAGTAAATCCTCATGTATAAATAATCCTCATGTATCTTCAGATATCACCCTATATGTTAATGGAATGAACTTACCAGTCAAAAGGCATGGAGTTGCTTGTTGGATCAGAAACACAACTATCCACTGTGTCTAGAATACCAATCTATATTCCAAAAATAATGATAAGCTCAAAGTAAATGATTGGAACACAATCCTACAAGTAAGTTGCACCCATTACATAGCAGGAATAGTCTCCTTTATATCAGAATAAAAAAGACTTCCAGGGCCTTCCTGGTGGTGCAAGGGATTAAGGTTACCCTATGAAGCTATCTGCATCCATTGCCGCACCAGTTCGATCCCCTGCCAGGGAGCTTACCCACATGGTGCAACAGACCTCTCCTGACTCATCTGCTGCATCTCTTAACAGTGTATCTCAGTAAATCTGTTTGTTCTGTTCCCCACTCTGTCTCTAGTAAATCCTCTCACCCTGCACTCCACTGGCCTGTACCCCAGTTCTTATATGCATAAATAAATAAATCTTAAAAAAAAGCCTTCCAGCTAAACGCAAAGGTAATGATAATCATAATGATTATGGACATGAGATCAATACATCAGGAAGATATAACACTCATCAGTTTATATGTACCAAAGGAGCATCAAAATATATGACAGCTATTAACAAATCTGAAAACAGACATTGGTGGCAACACAATAGTGGCAGGGGACTTAACATAACCTCTTGTACATCAGTGGGCAGATCAACTAGACAGGAAATAGTAGCTTCAAATAAGGCATTAGGTCACATGGACTTAGTAGATATTTATAGGTTACTGCATCCCCCTCAAATACACATGATATGTTCTCTAGGATAGACCACATGATCTCTAGGCTAGGTCACAAAACACATATCAATAAATTCATGAAAATTGAGATCATATCAGGCATCTTCTCTGATCACAATGATAGCAGCTATAAAAAGAAAGCAGGAAAAACCTATAGTATGTGGAGGTTGAATAACAGTACTGGATTACTGTTGGGTTAATGAGGAAATCAAGGAAGAAATATAAAAATGCCTGAGACAAATGAAAATGAAGACAGAAGCTATCAGAATCTATGGGATGCAGTAAAAGCAGTACCAAGAGGTCTGTATATAGCAATACAAATCCACATCAAGATAAAAGAAAGATCTCAAACATTCTAACTTCACACCTTAAAGAACTAGAAAAAGAAGAACAAATAAAACCAAAAGCCAGTGGAAGGGAGAAAATAATAAAAATTAGAGCAGTTAAAAGAAAAAAAAAACAAAAAAACAAACAGTCCAAAGGATCAATGAAAACAAAAACTAGGGGCCTCCCCGGTGGCGCAGCGGTTGAGCGCTGGGTTGCGAAGCTGCCCGCAGCCTCTGCAGCTCTGGTTCAATCCCCGGCTGCTCCCCGGCCACCGGAGGAGGGTCCCACATGGCGGCCGCCCGCTGCTCCCCTCAGCAGTGTACCTTGGTCCTTCTGCCTGCTCTGCTCCCCGCTCTGGCTCTGGTGAATTCTCTCACCCTCCCGCGCTTCTGACTGTACCCAGTGCTTGTATAAATAAATAAATAAATAAATAAATCTTTAAAAAAGAAAAGAAAACAAAAACTAGCTCTGGAAAAATAAGCAAAGTAGACAAACATCTAGCTAAACTCACAAATTAAAAAAGGGACAAAACTCTAATAAATAGAAATGAAATAGAATTTTGAACAGACATCCCAGAAGCACATAGGCTATTAAGAGATTACAATAAACATCTACATGCTAATAAATTGAATAACCGAGGTGAAGTGGCCAAGTTCTTAGAAATATAGAAACTTCTGAGACTTAATCAAGAAGAAATAGAAACCTGAAAAGGTCCTTTACCAGCATGGAAATTGTAGCAATAATTAAAAGTCTCTCATAAAACGAAAGCCCAGGTCCAGTTGGTTTCACTAGTGAATTCTACCAAGCCTTCAGAGATGAACTAATATTTATCCTTCTCAAACTCTTTCAAAAAACTAAGGAAGAGGAAATCCTTCTTAATACATTTTATAAAGCCAACATTACTCTATTACTAAAGGCAGAAATGACATCATAAAAAAAGAAATTTACAGACTAATGTCCCTGATGACAATAGATGCAAAAATCCTCACAAAATCTTAACAAACTGAATTCAACAATATATTAAAATGATCCTACATCATGATTCAGTGGGATTTATTCCAGGGATGCTGGGATGGTTCAACATTGGAAAATTGATCAATGTAATTCACATCACCAAAAAGAAAGAACAATCATATCCCATCAAAAGATGCAGAGAAAGGTTTTGGTGAAATTCAGTATCCACTTATGATAAAAATCCTCAAAAAATGTGGATGGAAGGAACATACCTCAACATATTAAAGGCCATGTACAGCAAACCCAAAGCTAACATCATATTCAATGGTGAAAAACTGAACACTCTTCTTTTTTTTATTTTTTATTTTGACATTTATCATTTTTTAAAATTTTAAAACAGTATTTGCTTCCCCCACCCCCTCAGATAGAATCCCCATAGAATTTCCTTCCCCAAGGCATCCCTGTACCATCACCACAGTCCCCTGTACTCCTCCCTCCCTCCCTCTGATCCTCTTCCTCCTCCTCCCCTGCAGGATGTCTCTGGTTTATAATTGTCTGTTTTTGCTTTGTTGTGTTTTGTACTGTTATTTTTTTTTTTACACTGATGTCTTATTTGGTTCCCCTATATTCCTGTTATAAGTGAAACCATATTTTTCTTTTTCCTTCCGGCTTAATTCACTGAGCATAATTCCTTCTAGCTCTATCCATGTTGCTGCGAATGGCATGAGTTTATCTTTTTTGATTGCTGACTAATATTCCATTGTGTATATATATACCACGTCGTCTTGATCTTGTCATCTATTTTTGGGCATTTGGGTTGTTTCCAGGTTTTACCTATTATAAATAGTCCTGCAATAAACATAGGTGTACAGGTGCTCTTTTGAATCACTGTTTTTATGTCCTTTGGGTAGATCCCTAGGAGTGGAATTGCTGGATCGTATGGTAGCTCCATTTTTAGTAGACTGAGGAACCTCCAGACAGCTTTCCACAGTGGTTACACCAGTTGGCACTCTACCAGCAATGTAGGAGATGAACACTTTTTTTTTAAAGTCAGGTACAAGATAGGGAGGTCCACTTTCACCACTACTATTTAACATAGCATCAGAAGTCCTAGAGAGAGTAATCAGACAAGATTGGTATTAAGAGAAGGATATAAAATTGAAGAAGAGGAAGTAAAATTATCGCCATTTGTAGATAATTTATATAGAAAATCATAAAGATTCCACTAAAAAGCAATTACAAATAATAAAATGTGACCTCCTGAGAGTTGACTCTAACATGAACAAACCTTGTCTCAGGGCCAAGTGAGGAGGCCACTGCCCTACCACATTCAAATCACTATGCATGTCATGTGTCTATTTGGCAACCACGTTTCTCCCCTTGCGTGTTCACACACCCTGTTGTTACTCATGTTCACCTTCTGTATTGGCAGTTTTCTGTTCATCATCGTGGTTGGATAAGTGGAAATAACCTAGGAACCCTAATGGTTACCCAGGAATCTGGTCTGGGTTTGGGGACTCCGTTGCTAACTAGATAGTGTGGGAGGGGTGGGCTGGATGCCAGAGGCTGAAGGCAGAAATGCAGGTTTGTAGATCTTTGTGAGTTGATGTGATTTAGACTATTTTTGTGTTCTTGGCCACAGGAATTTCTTCACATGGCTTCCGAGGAAGTGACCATTACTGTTCGCCTCATTCGTTCATTTGAGCATCGCAATTTCAAACCTGTAGTATATCATGGAGTTAATTTGGGCCAAACTGTGAAGGAATTTATATTATTTCTAAAGCAAGGTATGAGATATCTTTACCATTAGTTTTTATTAGTACTTTGAAAAAAATAGTTGCCTATTACATTATTAACAATCCTATGAAAGTACTTTGGAAGGCTATCAGCCTGGGCTCTAAGCCAGCTGCTGTGCTAGGTTTTGGTCTGGGCCTTGGCATCAGTGAAGAACATTATATCCCCAGGGCTCACTTAGTTGTGTGTGTGCCCTTCTCAGTGATTATTTAAGCTTCTCCCCTGCCCCCCGTTTTTTTTTATTAAAAAGTTTTAGGTCTAGATTTGCTTGTAATGACATATGTATTTGGAGGGTGGCTAATAAGTGAGTGTAGTGTAGCTAAATGTGTTCCCCAGCTGGGCACACAGAGGGCCCTATGGAATTATGCCAAGGAGGTGGCCAGCACAGCGGGGAAGTCATGAGAGCTGTTGGTCATTGTGGTCGACCAGACTCACTGGTGCTAGTTTATCATTTTGACTTTAAAATACAGAAGACATGGTGGGCCTCTGTGGTGGTGCAAGTGGTTAAGTCTCAGCACTATCAAGCTGTCTGTAGCCTCTGCAGTTTGATCCCTGGCCAGGAAGCTGACCCCATGGCACAGCAGGTCTCCCCTCTCTTGCCCAGTGCTCCCCTTAGCAGTGTATTTCACTCAATCTACTGTTCTGTTTCCTACTCTGTCTCTGGTGAACCCTCTTACCTCCCACACCTCTGGCCTATACCCCAATTCTTGTATGTATAAATAAATAAATTTTAAAAAATATATAGAAGGCATGATATTCATTTTCCTTTTGATATGTCCTGGATGGTTTCTACCTGTTTTAATTACGAAAGTGTTCTGATCATCAATATTTGATAAAACATGTAGAATAAGCATCAATTATTTTAACTCAGGTGTAATGTATATATTATCTAATGTACAGATCCTAGGGTACAGTTGGTTGAGCAGGGTCAAATGGGGTGTAGACCGGGGGTATGGGGCAGAGGATATATGCATATGTAATTTTGATACATGTCACCAAATTGCCCTCTATAGTGGGAGTTGCAGCATCAGATACTATTAATTAAAACTAATACTGGTGTTTGGAACACTGTTTTAAAAATATATTTACTGTAGTTTGTTTTGTTTTGTTTGCTGAATTAGAGGAATTATATTGTAGGCTCTCTGAATTTTGATGAGAATAAGACTGTTCTAGGTCATTGGTTTCCACTACTGAAGTACCAAAGATCATCAACTGGTTCTGATTCATATGCAAAATAACCTCAAATATATAGAAAATAATGTTTCATACATGTTTACTGTATATTTCATGTGTACACAGATGACACTGTATTTAACAAAATACCAATTCACTGAATAGTGTCATAGAATTTTCAGTTTGACTAATAACAGCTCAACATTTTATCAAATGTACTGTTATTTTAGGTGAACCTATCAATTTTTTCAAAGTAGTTTAGTCTGGATGCATGGGAGAATAGAAACAAAAGACTAGCATATATACTGTGTCTATTTGAATATTTTGTAATAAAAATAATGTTTTTCTTACAGATATACCTGTAAGGAACAACCTGCCACCGCCATTCAGAAATTATAAATATGGTAACCTATTTTTCTTATTCTTTTATATATTAATAAAATTTCACATTAGTTTTATGTTGCTGTAAATATAAATTTGCTTTTCAAAATGAGCTTACTCTCCAAAAACAGTTTGGAAGTTTATTTAGAAATACAGGAATCCTACTATGTTTTTAAAGTAATGGGATTTTGGGGCCAAAAAAGGAAAAATGATTAAATACTAGTAGCCTGAACATGTTATATAGTGGGGGTTTATATATTTTGTTGATTTAAAAATGTGGTAGTAAGGCAAGAAACTGGGTTCATTAATCAGTATAAATATGGTATAGTTATGCAAATAATGACACTAGCCAGACTTTGAATTTGAGACTTTACTTGAAAGTTATGATGTACCTAATAAATATTTCTGTTAATTGTACAGACATTTTAAAATATAAATTTTTTATTACCTTAGATCATTTTTTTTTGGAGAGGCTTTTAATTCTGTTGTCATTTGGTGGAGCAACTTATGACCTAAAATACTTTGAAATCACACTCTTCACCGTGTGTATGCATTTTAATATCCAGTGATTAATTATAAGGTCATGAGGGGTAATAAAGAACTTGTCAGCACTGAGAGGAAAGTGCTTAGATTTATTGGACTTAAAGAATTTGCATCCTAAATATTGAATAAGAATGTCTTATTAAGTTCGGGATCTCTAAGTTTGCTAATTTTCATGAAGCAGGAAGGTTTCACCTAGGACTCAAGCCAAATGCATATAAACATTGGCCCTCCCTTGTGGCGCAAGGGGTTAAGCACAGCACTATGAAGCTATCCGCAGTCTCTGCAGCACAGGCCAGGGAGCTGCCTACATGGCACAGCAGACCTCTCCTGTCTCGCCCACTGTTCCCCTTAGCAGTATATTTCAGGTAGTCTGCCTGTTCTGTTCCCCACTCTGTCTCTGGTAAATCCTCTCACCCCCTGCATCTCTGGTCTATACCCCAGTTCTTGTATGCATAAATAAATAAATCTTTAAAAACAAAAACAAATGAGTATAGCCACAATAAGAATCTACTAGAGGGAAATCCACATTATAATAATATAAGCAAATAATTCAGTTGGCAGTAAAAGGGGGAAGGTAATGAGCCTCCTGACAAAGTTCAGGAAACTGGTAGAGAAGGAGTGAGCTCCTGGCAGCCACCCATCTGCATAGGAGGGGAGATGCCTCTTCACAGAGAGTCCCCAGCAGCTCTGTCAGACCTTGCAGAAGGCTTCAAGGCTATGGGCATGGAGTCCATAAGCATTTCAAGGTGTCTTAAAATTGGCATCTATCCTTATACCACTTTTCAGAGGTATGTTATCAGGACCATCTCTTAGTTTTGATTTAGGAGGGGCTTTCTTCACCTCCAGGTTTTTATCTGTCCTTCCTTTTGCATGTCTATGAGACATAAGAAATGATTACTTTTTAATCAGTCTGTATTTAATTGATCTCACATCTTCATTGCCCCCACCACTCCATCAGTCAGGGTTATTACAATGTCAATATTTATGACAAAGAGAAAGGTATAAAAAGCATGATTAAGTAAATATTTAATGTCTGTATTTCATGGCTTTCAAAGCATAATGTTTTAGGATAAAACCTTAAACTTGGACCAATCTACAGATAGATTTCAAGTTAGAATAGTTACCCTTGGTTTCCTTTTTGGCATGGTCACTGTGTATACAAACATAAGTTGCATGTAACTTATTTTAACAGATAAATTTTAGATAATAAACGCATCAAAGTAGCTGACTGCTAATCATCACACTGGCAGATAATGGACCTTTTGTATTATTTCACTTCATGGCCACCTTTTGGTCCTAGTTTTTTTTAAGTGAGATGAACTGACAGGAAACAATGAATACGTTTATCTGTTAAGATAGCAGAGAACCACTAGGATAGGTTATCTGAGTTTGATAACCTAATGTGCTGTGCAGCACATTAAAAATGTGCTGCTGTGTTCAACAAGAAAGGCCGGAAGTGTTACTTTTTCATCTTTTGTTTTCCTCCAGTATTGTTATATTGCTCAGTGAGAACAAAATACTTAGGGAGTTGGGGAGTGAAAAAGGCACAGTCAGGTTGCAGTTTGCCAGTTGAGTTAAATTGCATATCTCTGTGCCCTTGGGCAAAGGGCCACTTTGCTAGCCCACTGTGAGTCTGGGATTTTTCAGAGCCTCTCATTTAATTGTCATCTACATCTATTATTGATTTCCTTAACCACGCTGTGTATTCCCAAACAGATGTTGTCTTATTTTTGAGACATAAACATTGTATGTATTTAGGGGCAGAGAGGAAATTTCTCCCTAACCCCTGTAGTTTCTTCTAGGCTGGCAAGTAACCAAATAAGTATCAGTCAGATTGAGAAGAGAAAAAAGCAAAAAGAGCTTGTATAATACTATCCATAATAACATGTATACCACCTATACTGTACACATGGGAGAAACCCAGTCAAACTGAGTCTCTCACCAAAATGTCTTCTGTCACCATCTTAAATAATATCGGCTGAGACAAAGGACAGTGGTGGGTAGGGATTGGCAGTCATGGAAGATCACAAGGAAGACCTGGCAATGAGGGCAAGTTGACCTTTATGCAGAGTTAAATTGCTGCCTTCCCTACTGATAACAGTTAGAGATTTGTCTTCCCTTTACATGAGGGAAACATAAAGGGAGACTTTCTTTTTTCTGTAAATGTTTCTTAACTATAGGACAGCCTTCATCCAGCCTTCAGACTGGATGCCCATTTATGAAGTAATATTTCTGCCAAACAGATATATTTGGGGGTGGGGAGTATTCCTCTGCCATGTATGCAATAAATGTTGGTTACTGTGTAGTGTGGGTTTACTAATTCTCTTTGTTTCATAAGGCTTTGTTGAGATTAGATTAGATAATGCATGTATGAACACATTAAGCTCCACAAATATGTTTTCATTTTTATGAGATTACCTTTTTTTTTTTTTTTAAGATTTATTTATTTATTTATACATACAAGCACTGGGTAGTCAGAAGCGCAGGAGGGTGAGAGGATTCACCAGAGCCAGAGCGGGGAGCAGAGCAGGCAGAAGGACCGAAGTCACTGCTGAGGGGAGCAGCGGGCAGCAGGAGAGGTCTGCGCACCATGTGGGACCCTCCTCTGGTGGCCGGGGAGCAGCCAGGGATCAAACCGGCGCTGCAGAGGCTGCGGGCAGCTTCGCAACCCAGCGCTCAACCACTGCGCCACCGGGGAGGCCCTGAGATTACTTTCTTAAGGAATTTCCATTAAGGAAAAAATACCCACAGATGTTTTTTCTGTTAATGATTTTTTTCAGAAGTAAAAACAGGTGAAGGAGATTTTCATTCAACAAAGAGACATGAATACGCCTTTTGCCACCTTGTGCTCTCTCCTTTTTTACCCGCTACCAAAGTTGGAAAGAAAAAGCTGATAAAATTTCTGCTCAAAGCATTTCCTTTTCTGCTAAATTTGTGGCTTTCTTATTTGGCTTACATGACTTTGTAGAACGTATTTGAACAAAGATAACTCTAAAATATTAGCAAAATCTATAGAATGTGATTAATATATAAGATCAAGCATAGTGGTGCAGGTTAAAGACTTTAGGCAAGGTCTGTTTATTAAAAAATTACTACTATTGGCTTCTCTAACTTGTCTGCAATAATAACCTGATGTTTATTATTAATGAGAAAAAAATATAATTAGTAACCCAGAATAATAGATATTCAAAAGTTAAATTTGCTATTTTTCTGTGTGTATTTTAAACTTAATTTTAACAATTGTGGCATATGTGTATTCCTAGTATGCTAAACTAGGTCAGATTTATTTCTTAACAGCATATATTATAGTCCTGTTACCAGAGAATAGGTTTGGGTTCTGCTACCTATCACTACCAAAAGTCAGTGAGCAGAGGCAGGAACTGAACCTGTAAGTACTTTTCTTTTTCATATCACTGGCCATTGACCTGAGAGAACAGCGGGCATAACACCCTGAAGAAACTGTTCTGCCACCTCTCTTGAGCTGGCCTTTTTATAGTGGGTTAAACAAAAACAGTCATAAGCAAACAGCCCATCAGAACAGCCTATCACAGTTGACGTTCAGCCCCAGAACTTGTCATCAGCCTCCTGGTTATCTTGACCCTGGTACATCCAGTGGTGTCAATGTCTGGCACTCCTTTGGGCATCATTAGGGCAGGAATCTCAGTTTAAGCAAGAGTTTTAATTTTAAGAAAACATCATTAGTCATATAGTGTGTACATGCAGCCTAGGCTTTGTGTGCAGAATCCTATGCTAGATATGGTGCCCTGCACTGCCTTACCAGCCCCCTTCAGTCCTGGGATTAGGCTGGTCTTGTATTAAAAATTATAATAGATAACTGAAAGTTAACTATTTTAAATAATGGATAATTCAGTTCTTAACTCTATAGTCACCTATTCTACTATAGTATTATTATTATTATAATAAAATCAAAACCTGCTTTTTAAGTAGATTCATTCATTTTACTCATTGGCTCAAACCAGCATGATTGGTAAAAATGAATTTTAGTGGAAGGTTAAGAGTTTATTCCCATTAATGCTCAGCAAAATAAGTCAGAAAGAAAAAGAAAAATACCAGATGGTCTCGCTCATAGCAGGAATTTAGAAAACCTAAATAAGAGACCAGGAAAAAGAGTAATCAATACAAAGTAAAAATCAAAATCAACAAGCAACTATAAACCAGAGACACGGGGGGGGGGGGTGTGGAGCGGGGAAAGGAAGGACTAGAGTCAAAATAAGGGGGGAGGTGTAATTGTATGGGGAATACAACCAAAATGAAAATGCATACATTGTGCAAAGATGAAAAAAGATGTAAGAATTATATAAAATAAAATATTTAAATTAAAAAAAGTGTTTATTCCCATATAAGAATGGCTGTAATCATATTGCATTTATTGTTAGAGAAAACTTAATTGAAGTGCTAGAAATTTCTGTATTTAAACCTGTTAAAGGCTGATTGCTGCAGTTAGAATTTTATCCATTGTGGAACAGGATGCTGTAGACTGTCTTCAGCATGAACAGCTTAAGGAGCCAGGGAATGACTACTAAAGCAGATGAGGGGGCATGATGCTGTATAATGTTTGAAAACTAGGAGGCAGATATTGGTGTTCTGGGGGCAGTAGCAGCTTTGCTCAGATAATAATGATCCTTGATAGTGTTTGAATTCAGAGAGTGGGATTAAAAAGAAAACAGCATGCCCCAAGTAGAGTCAGTTGTGTTAAGCTTCAAGTCACCTAACCTAACTTAATTGCAGTTTCAACCCCTCCTAGGAGTGGAATTTTAAACCAACAGTCTAGAATTTCTGGGTCAGCACTAGAGAGGTATTACGCCTGATAAGGCCCTCTATGGGAAGGTAATCTTGCCTGAAATAATCTTTCTTTGTTATAGCTTAATTACCTTGTTCCACTTTCTTCCTGCCTATAAAAATCTTCCATTTTTTACAACTCCTCACTGCCTGCTTACTAGATGGGATGTTTCCAGGTTCATTAATCATTTAATAAAGTCAATTAGATCTCAAATTTATTCAGATGATTTTTGTTTTTTAACAGTGATGAATGGTCAGTATGATCATTTGCCCTATCATTCTATCTGCTCTGAGAGATCAATAGACTTTTTTTGCAGCTTATTTTGTTAATGTTTGTCTTAATTTAAGACAAACTTTTTTTTTTTTTTACATTATTTGCTCCTCCTTGGTTTATTAATTCCAAAATATCAGAATAGAGTAATGTGAGTGAAATTGTGTTGAATTGACTTTAGGTTATGTAGACACACAAGTTGTATGTATCAAAGATCAAAGATTTTACAGTATCTTTATATAGTGAACTTTAAGTTGAATACTTGCAAAACTAATTTTTCTTTTAGTGCATACTGGTTTTTTTTTTATTTTTTTAAAGATTTATTTATTTATTTATACAAGCACTGGGTACAGTCAGAAGCGCGGGAGGGTAAGAGAATTCACCAGGGGAGCAGAACAGGCAGACAGACGGAGGACACTGCTGAGGGGAGCAGTGGGCGGCAGGAGAGGTCTGCGTGCCATGTGGGACCCTTGCCGGCTGCCGGGGATCGAACCGGCGCTGCAGAGGCTGCGGGCAGCTTCACAGCCCAGCACTCAACCTCTGTGCCACCAGGGAGGCCTCCATACTGTTTTTTCAAATGAACCTGGTCATATGCAAAGAATTTAAATCTCTCAATTTCATAGTCACTCTTCTATCTCACTTTTATAGTTTGAAGTGAAGTTATAGAATAATCTTTGTAAAAATACAACTTTTTTTTTTTTTCAGATAAACTAAAGATTATTCATCAAGCACATAAATCAAAGGTACGTTTCAAATGTATTGTTATATAAATGACATATAATCTATGTTGTTGGTTGACTTAGTGAATAAGAGAACATATATATTTATAAAATATTTTCTGTTATAATAGCATTTTTATTTTGTAGGTAGGTATCTTACTTTTCCATTAAAGGGTAAATAGTCTTTTAAGTCACATTCCTATTAGTAGTAGATGCTTTTAAAAAAAGTGCTAATTGAAAAAGCATCCATATTCTATATCAAGCAAATATTTGACATAAGGTAAGTTTAAAACTTGGTAATCAGGTTACATATAAAGAAAACCACTACTATCTGGAAATCCAGTATCTTTGCCCTTCTAAATTCTGTTCCAATAAGAGAAGATCCAAAAACAGATAAAAATCATGCGCTTATTATGACTTGACTCTGTTTTTCTTTAAAGGTTCATTTATTTATGCATATAAGAACTGAGGTGTAGGCCATAGGTGTGGGAGGGTGAGAGGATTCCTCAGGGACAGAGTGGGGAGCAGAACAGGCAGATCTACTGAAATACACTACTGAGGGGAGCAGTAGGCGAGACAGGAGAGGTCTGCTGCGCCATGTGGGATTCTCACCAGCTGGCCTGGATCGAACCCGTGCTGCAGAGGCTGTGGACAGCTTCACAGTGCTGTGTTCAACCGCCTGCACCACCAGGGAGACCCTGTTTCTCTTTTCTTTTAAAGAATTTTTGTTATTATTTTCTGAGTATTAATTTTTTTTTATTCCAAGGATTGTGTATACATATTTTTCAAATGCTTGGATGTGTCTGGGATGTGATGTGAAATCTGCACTTTGTATGGATGCTAGAATATTCCTCTGCTATATCTGACGACAGACTCCATCTTTTTTCTCTTCTCTGGGCCAGGAGTATTTATTTCAACTTTGTTCCTAAATGTGGACAACAGGAAACTTGGTCTTTTGTAGAAGGGGAAAACAAATATAAAATAAAGTTAAAATGAAAAATAAGTTCTTTGAAAAGTTCATAAAATAAAATGTGACACATTTTTCATTGTTGAACTTGTCAAATACTCTTGTTTTCTAGAAGGAATAACTAGTAAATTATTTCTTTATCCTGATGAAGACCTTGTTCATAGTATTCAAATAATAAGTATTATGACATTAAAGAAATCATGGAATTTTCCTCCTATAGTTGGAAATATCTAAGAATTATTTCTTATATTTAAAACAATTGTTCCATCCTGGCTTTTTAGAGTTGTAAAATTAGAGCTTATTTTTCCATTGAACATTTCGTTTGTTTATGGAAAGATTCCCAAGGCAAATTAAGTCATTTAGAGTATTTTTGGATTCTGACTTTACAACTTTCATCTAAACCATTCTAGTCAAACAGAATGAATGATTCTTAAGTTTCCTCTTCAACTTTATAAGGAAAGGTGTCAATATAGTTTTACAGATATACTTTTAAAACTTCAGAAAATTTTCACCTGCTTATCCTCATTTGTGCCTTATTCTACTCCCACACAGTTTCTTCATCTCTGAGCAGTGCTTATCCAGCAGCTTGGTTTTCAGTGCCGCTGTAATTTTAGTCTCCTTCCTTAGCCAGAAGGTGAGACTTATCAATAGCCTATCTCTTAGAGAACTTGTTCACAAAAGATGTGTTTCCCATTCCTCAAATTTCTAAGTTAGAAACTAGAGACTTTTTGAATTATAGTTATCAGGTGTTCACAGATGTTTCCTCCTCTCACCACACTAAAAAAGCTGTTGATACCTTCCCACCAGAGCCTTCTATGAGATGAGGTGTGTGTTAATGTTAATGTTTGTTGAACCAATCAATCAATAATAGTGTAGTGCAAATAATAACTATGATTCGTTTTCAAGAAAGTGTGTGTGCGTGTGTGTGTTGTAGACTATAATGACTAGGTTATTTGTAAAGTTAGAATAATTCCAGTTTGTGAGTTTGGATACCAAACTCATAATAGATAAACCTGCTAAAAGTTTATGAAAGAAAGAAGTCATATCCTGGACTTTATAAGAAATATGCACAATCTCTAAGAAGAAATCTTTAAAATATTAGCAGGGACATTCAGTTGAGACTTACTGAACTAAATCCTTAATGTTCAGCATTTTATTCATGTAAAATTCTGCCTCAATTTTACAAAAAAATAAACTGTGAAAAGAGTTCTAAAATAAGACTGAAACAGAAATACTTAGGATATTTTGAATGGAAAGAGGCAACAACATGAACATGTGCCAGTTTTCTCTTGATTTATGTATTTAGTGCCCACTGTAGTCGTGTATATATGCATGTATGTGTGTGTATGAACTGTAGCATATAAAACTAATATGCAGGGCCTCCCCTGGTGGCGCAGGCAGTTGAGCACCGTGCTGTGATGCTGTCCACAGCCTCTGCAGTGCTGGTTTGATCCCCGCCGGCAGGCTAGGGTCCCACATGGCCCGGCAGACCTCTCTTATCTCACCCGCTGCTCCCCTCAGCAGTGTATTTCATCAGTCTGCCTGTTCTGCTCCCCACTCTAACTCTGGTGAATCCTCTCACCCTCCTGCACATCTGGCCTGTACCCCGGTTCTTGTATAAATAAATAAATAAATCCTTAAAAAAATGCAAAAAATAATGAAGAATAATCACAGAGAAATGGGAATTACTAGCTCTCGCATATTAAGACATTATAAAACTGTGGTAATTAAAGTGTGGTACTGTCAGCTAAACTGTTAGTTCAATGGCACAGAAATGAAAGTCTGAAAAATGACCAAAATGTGTAGAAGAATTTAGTATGTAATAAATATGGCATTTCAAATTTATGGAGAAAATATGGCAGATTCAATAAATGGTATTGGGATAACTGGGTAGATATCTAGAAACAATTAAGTGGGATCTATAACTTTGTCTTTATTCCAAAATAAATAAAACTACCAGTTAAGGACAGAGATGAAACAGATTGTGTATGATTGACAACTTGCAAAATAAAAATTACACTTAATCCTTGATCCAACAATTCTACTTCTGGTATTTATCTTTCAGATAAAATTTGTACAGTATGTTAAATTACACACACAAGGGTATTCATTGCAGGATTGTTTATGGTTATAAGATGTTGGGAACAACCTAAATGTCCATCAACAGAGATTGAAATGTCTATCAAAAAATGTGTGTGTGTGTGAGAGAGAGACCCTTCAATGGAATTTCTCACTAGTTTTTTTTTTAAGATTTATATTTTTATTTTATTTATGCATACAAGAACTGGGGTGTAGGCCAGAGTTATAGGGGGTGAGAGGGTTCACCAGAGGCAGAGTGGGGAGCAGAACAAGTGGATATACTGAAATATACTACTGAGGGGAGCAGCTGGCAGCCAAAACAGGAGAGGTCTGCTTGCCATATGTGTTAGCTCCATGACTGGGGATCAAACTCATGCTGCAGTGGCTGGTGATTGCTTGATAGCGGTGAGACTTTAACCCCTGTGCCACCAGGAAGGCCCCTTTTCTGCAGTTTTGATGAAGTTTAAGGTAGCTCTTGCTGATTTAGAATGGATTTAAGTTATATTTTAAGAGATGAAATTAAGATGTTAGAACACAGCACATAATGTGCTTTTCGTGTGTGGAAAAAGTTTATATCTCTGCCTGCATGTATATGGACAGAGACAGTCTCTGGAAGGATACCCTGGAATTAGTACAAGTTCTCTGGAGGATGGATAGGGGTTGGGAGAAGACTTTTCACTCTCTATCCAGATAGACTTGGAGAATTTTTTATCATGAATATGCATTGCCTATTCTAAAATTATTTTGTTTAATTGGGTTTGTCTTTTCCCCATTTTAATCTGCACTGGAGTCCAAGCACCTGTGCTCCCAGTCAATGAAGTCATGAGCTGTGGAGCATGACTTCTGGGCATCTGTTTTGGGTGTTGAAAGGCCTTTCTGTTGACTCTCCTCTGAGCCTTATCCTAGGAATATAGGATACGTTGGTAAATAGCTGTGTTCTTGTTGACAAGTGGCATGGTGTGGGGTGGGCCCAACTAGCAGTCACCTCTATTTACTAGTTAGGAGCAGATACCAACATAAAATTTTCTCCTGTATTTCTGATTTGTAAACATCATTGGAGAGAATATATTCCCAGTTCAAATCCCACAGAGAAATGTTATAGTTAGTATCACATGTGACCCAAGTGTTTATTAACAGTGGCCAGGATTTTAGATATGTGGCCTTATGAGGTAAGCTTGCTTCTCTCAAAAGTCCAATTAGCCAGAGCTCAAACCTCAGTTCCAGGCGCCCCGGCCCTTTTCCCTAACCTTTCTTCTTCCTCCTGAATTACAGTGAGGGTGGGAGAGAAGATGACAAGTTGAGGCTGGTGGGAAGATGACACAAGGGTTAAAAGTTAATACAGGGAGTGCTTGCTGCACAGCCAACACTGGGGTTTAGATGCCTCACCTTGTTTCATCCTCACCATGCAGCAACAGAGCAGAGGCATTCTTTCCCCTCTATTATAGATGAGGAAATGAATCTAAGGAAGGGTTTGTTGAGAACACACACCTGGGTGCTGTTGGGGCCTGAATTTGACCTGAGTCGAGCTCCGGAGTTCTCTATTTGCTAAAGCACTGTGTCCCCAGTGTTCTGCCTCATGTGTGCATTTACTAGGTCCTGACTGTTCACGTCTCTCCTTTCCTTAATGAAAGTAGTATGTGACTTAGGACTTAATGTCCTGACCCAAAGTACAGTTTTATGTCTTCAAGAAATCTTACAAAATATGAAACGCATTTGAATACTGATAAAATGCAAATTTTCTTTCTTTCTAGACAAATGAGCTTGTGATGAGTTTGGAGGATGATGACAGACTCCTGTTAAAAGAAGAGAGCACCCTCAAAGCTGCTGGAATTGGTGAGGAAAGGCTGTGTGGTGCTGGAGGGAGCTCTTGTCTCCTGGCTGGTGTGTGAGGCCTGTCTGATGAGATTATCATAACCCACCGCAAAGGAATGCTACCCTTGGTGCTCTTTACACTGCCTGATAATTATTCAGAGGAGAAGGCTGAGAGTGATATACATTCAGATCATTTGACTGAGGGCAGCAGATATCTGCTCTCCAAATGTTCAGAATGCAAATAGTTCTTCTCGGAAGGTATGCTCAGAATTCTGCTGAGGGTTATTTTAAGTGATTGACAGGTTATTACTTACTTAATAACCTACTTACCCTTATCAAAATCATTTGAACTGATGGTTTGAGAGAAATGGACCTGATAGAACTAATGTGGAATAATGAAGTGAGATGTTGTTTGTATAACATGCAGCGTGGTTTACGATAGTCATCCAGATTGCTCAGGGCCGACCAAGTCATGGAATTTCAAATAGGAGCTTTGTGTGTGCAGTTGAAAATTGCCGATTTAGCCTTTCAACCTGGAATATGCGTGCTGTTCTGTTTTAAAGAAATGCTACGTGACATGCTTTGTGACCATTAGATGTCACTCTAATTCTACTTATATGTACACTTAGAGCTGCTCTTGCAATAGGACTGACGATTTTAAGAGCTCTGTGAACAGTTGAAGGCATGCCTCTGACATTACCTTTGACGCTAATGAAACAGCACAGGTCTCACTTACGTTATAATTACTTAGATGCTGGTTAAGGAGAACTCTGAGGTCCATGATAGGAAACCTTACATTTTTTTGATAGGTGTCCTATTGAGTAATTGTAGGCACATATTTTAGGAATTCACTTTTGAATGGTACATGTAGCTAAAGTGGGTTCCTGACTAATCTTCCAATTAAATAAGATTTTAAATAGAAGGTTGTGAAATCTTAGACTTGTTTTCTGGGTCTGCACTACTGGCTAGATTTTGTGTCTTTCCATACTATGAATATTGATTGTTATTATTTGAAAAGGCATTTTTAAATTTGAATTTTATTTATCCAAATGTTATTATGTTATTATAGCAGGTGACACCTTTTATTGAGACACAATGGCAGTAAGAAGTTAGCCTTGTTAAAGCATAAAGCTATAATAAATATAACTGTCCAGTATTGATATGGGAATTGGCAGATAGCTCCATGGAAAAGACTGAAAAAATCCAAAAGCAAAATAAGAAAGAAATAAGATTGACAATATGATAAAGTTTTGACATCTCAAACAAGTGGGGAAAGAATGAATTAGCCAGAATGAATTTGGCCCATTGCCAAAGCATTTGGGAAAATAAAATTTAAATCCTTATCTCAGTTTTAATTCCAAAATATATCCTAGATAGATAAATGTTATAATGTAAGCATGTTAAAAATTAAAATGTGGCTCAGTAGTCTCATAATCTTGGGAAAGAGAAGAGCATTATCTTGAAGGCAGAAGCCATAAAGCAGGGAGAAGTAATGGATCTGACTACATAAAACCCGAAAAATGTAAACAGATATAAAGGAAGAAGCATGCTTATAAGCAAAAAAGAACACTTTTGCAACATATGACAAATAAAAAGTTATTAACTGAGTTTAGACAGCTTCCTATGAAAAGGAAAAACAAAATATTCTACTGATAGAATAGCTAGCAAGCATGTGAAAATAGGTACTGTTTATGTGACACTAGTCTAGGTGATTAAGACTTAGAGACTGGAGCCAGGCTGCTTGGGTTCACAGCTTCATTCTGCCACATACTGTCAGGGTGACCTGGGAAGAGCAGTAATTATAAGGCCAGCGGACATGAAGAAACGTGGTAGTAGCCAGGGGAGTGTTAGAAGTGCATTCTCTCTTGTAATGCCATAGGGGCTGTATACTCCATCTGACATTTGTGTAGGTCGACCGGAACGACTTTCTCAAAGGTCACTCTCTGCCTGTTCCCTACCCAGCAGGAGTAAACTTCCTCTGCTCGGTGACTCCCATGCGGTTGTGGTAGGTCTCCAGGGGGGCTCTCTCTCACTTTCCTTGTTTGTGAATCACTACTGTAGAGCCTTATTTATTGACGATATAGAATACATTGTGTGATACCATTATTGTTTAAAAGTGTATATATTTACATGTCTCGATGTGTAATGGAGAAAAGATCATAGACCCAGATTATAGAAATGGCTTCTTGGGGGTGGGGGGGCATTGCCAGTAGTTGTTTTTTTCCCTTTCTTCTCCATATTATCTAATTGCCCTTAAATTGTTTTGCTTATAGTTTACAAGTCTTCCTTGTAAATTAAGGAACCACTTTTAAAGAATAAACTTCTAAAATTGTAAAAAATTGGTTTGGGCAAAGGTTTTGCATTTTACTTGCTTTCTGAGCTTCTATAAAACCATTTAGCCTCTCTGAGTTTCTGTGTTGATTTCTGTAAAAAAACAAAATAGAAATAAACCTATTTTGAGTGTTGTCATAAAGATTAAATGATGTAAAGACTGTATAGAAAAGCATCTGGAGCAATGCAAATAATCACTTTTAAAACACTTATTTGGAAGCCATTTTGGAAAAGACAGGAAATGTTTTGCATTTATCAGAAGACCCAGTTTTTGGCTTGTCATTAATTTCAGACTTACGTAATATAAGTCATTCTTATTTAAAGGCTGTAGGTCTTTGATCAGAGTCGGATGTACTTTATGGGTTTCCCACTAGTTTGGAGGTGGTATAAGAACTTCAAGCTGCCCTCCGGCCCTGGCAAAATGGTAGCCTGGTCGGGGTGACTTTAGTACCTGCGGGGAGTGATTTCATCTCCCACATGTTCTTCCTATTGCCTAGAGCAATGTTGCTGTGCTCAGGAGAAAAGCCACGGTTGTACATGGGGAGGGAGGTGCTGGTCTCTGGAGAGCAACAAAAAATTCTAAGTAGGAGTCTAGTTGTAAAAATGACACTTGAAGTGTGTGATTTTTCCAGGGAATTTTCCCTCCCTTGGTGCTGTCTCTAGTTAGGTTTTTAAGAGGTTTAAGAGAAAAATTCTAAGTTGTCACTCTCCCTTTTTACCACATGATCTTCCTGTAGGGCTGTCAGTCTGCTATCACAGTCAGTTGCCATGGGAATAAAGCCAATATAACAAATTTATCATTATGACTTTTCTGCAAAATACATGAAAGGGGAAGAAAGACTGTGAGGGGGGAAATTAGGGGAACAAACCTGCTTGAAGATTTCTTTTTTCGCAGAGAAATTCTCCAGGTCCCACTCTGGCCTTTTATCTGCATTGCAGATCCCAATTGTATATTCTATGCCTGACGTCAGGGGAAGTTTTTGCTTGTGGAGTTAGTGCTAAAATACATAAGTAAAAAGCTTTGCTTTGTGGGCAGAAGAGGAAGCCTTTACCTAGAATTGTTATTTATAACAAGACTTTACCTTGTTATTAACAATTGTAGTTTTAAGGACTAGTTCCCCAACTAGCACGTTTGCATGTAAGTATTTTGGGCGTGATATTTCCTCTTTTGCTTTGCTACATTCTACTACTATTATCTTTTGAAATCTTCCTCTCTGGCTTAGGCAAGAAAGCGTGCAGGGTAACTCTTCTAAAACCTATTGTGTTTCATTGGAAATAACTGAAAACAAGATCCAATGGGCCAAACCTAGGTGTTTATCTGAAAGAAGAGTTCACATCCAGCCAGACCCTGTAATAATCCCAAATTCCCTTGTGATCTGTTTTCATTTCCTAAGTCACTTGTGTCGTCTGCCCACAACCAGAGCCCCATCTTCGTGCCCAGCACCTTTTGGTTCTCTCATATGTACAGGTGATATTGTGGGACGTTTTGGGTCTCACTTCTTCATTAGGATCCTGTTTGATTTGTGGTTCCTTAAGGTTTCGGTCCCTCTCCCATTCTGTGCTGGGTAGTGATATCTTAGGGCATATTTGTCTTCCTCCTTGACAGCATGTTCAGGTGGCTGTTCTTCATGTTAACAGCCAGAGTCTGGTTCTCAGCAGAGTACTAGGCCCTGGGAATTTGGGATTCCAGAGCAAGGGGAAAAATGATTTTTCTCTTTTTATCCTCCGCTCACTGTTGTGGAAATCATAGGCATGTGTCTGGTCCATCAAAGGTCAGATTTTTTTTTTTTACTTTCTGTTTTCTTCAAACTAGTTTGAAATATTTTCTGCCAGCTGATGTAAACAGGAACAAATATAAAATATTTTAAAATACTGAAGCAAATGTGAAATAAAAGGCACAGTAGTTAAGGAACTCTGTTGGATTGCTGGCCTCTTTTGGTGAACATTAAAAAGATAACTTAGTTGTGAGCATGGTTTTGAATTATTTTTACACTAGGGTTTTATAAACCTGGAAGGATAGGATAGTCTCCTAGAGCAGGAGAGATTGTGAAGCTTTGTCTTCGTGATCTCAAATTGCTATCAAAACTACATCCTGTCCTTCCTGTATATGTATTTTTTTGCCAATAACCTGCAATCATTATCATACTACAGCCTGCCCTACTCATTAATTACCTGGCCAATTATTAATTATCAGTGTATGTATCTCAATCTCTTCTCAAAGTTGTTATGCCTTCTACTTTGGGTGTCCAATAGTGTGATGTTAGTGACTTAGAAATTATGCAATAAATACTCATGAGTTTATTGAGATAAACTGGTTGAGGAGTATAAATACATTGGATTTAGTCTTTCTTGAGCTTTTATATTTAAAATAGGTTTTTGTTCTTTTATTTAAAGCCAGTATTATTATTTTCCTGAGAAAGGGATGTGTGTGTGTGTGTATCTCCAGTGTAGAAACGTTATAAAAGTATTAATCTTATATCCAAAGTTTGAATGTCCTGGCTTATGTTCATTTCATTAAACTTGAAAGGCAAAATTAAAATGATCCACAAATGTACTTGGAGGGTTCTTACTTGAATTTCATTTGATAGTGAGACGAAGGGATGAACTGGCAATATATTTATTGGATTTTAGATTGCACATTCATTTCAGATTCACATGCCAAGGCACTATGCACCCGAGTGCACTGCCGCCTGCAGCACATTTAATTTAAAATCAGATGCCCTAGGGGACTGGCACACAGTAGACTTCTTGAGGGTTCTTCCAGATCCATTTAAAATAGAATTTGGGAAGCAAGAATTTAAGGGATAATGGTGGAAAGGGTGATAATGTAGAGGTCCTCAAAAATCGTTTATAATTCATTTTCACTTTAATTGGCAAATAAATTTACAGTGCAAGTGCATGGAATCTTTCAAACATTTTCAACAGAATAGAATAGATTTTAAAAAAACCATATATTCCTTTTCTGTTTGAGGATCACATCACTAAGGTTTAGAATCCATTTTATATTTTACTTTAGAAAGTTCGGAGTAGCTAACTTAATTTGTGTGTTGTTTTCCAGTTTGCTAAGGGTGAAAATGTATTTATCAAATTAAAATATTTGAGTTTAATCCATTTGTCAGTCTAATTAATTTTCCTGAGAAAAAGAAAAGCCTTCATCTGAAAATAAAATCATTACCTGAGATGATCTCCACTTGAGCCTGTATTATGAGAGATAGTATAAATACTTTATATAAATAATAGATTAATCTATAAGTTAATTAGACCCAAGAGAACCTACATGTCAAAACAAAAATGCTTTGTCAGTTCTTTCTTTACATCAGCTTATTCTGAACTTATTATTACCATACTGAAGAGCTGTGCGATGTATTAGTTTCTCAAAAGGGGTACAGATAAATGTACTGCAGGAAGTGAAAATTGTAATTACAGTTAGCATGTATTGAGCAAAGTGCTGTGTGGGCAAAGCACTGGGTAAAGTACTGTATGTAAATAGCACATTGTAGATAAAACCTTCCTCTGTGATTATTAAAGACAGGGGTGCTTTTGCTCATTTTCCATTAGAAGGATGATTAGAATCATTTGCAAATTATATAGGTCTACCTTTGGGCTTTTTTCCCTTTCAAAAAGGAAACCCCTGGAGGCAAGATCTCAAAATATCTTATCTTTGAATATTGAATTTTTTAAAGCCCCCTTTTCAACATTTTGCTGATTGTGAATACAGAGCCTCTTACCCATTCTTTTGAGTGCTGTTTTCTTGTAAAATTTAGCTGTAAGTTCATTAATTTACCATTTGCCCAGAATACTCTTATTTACAGCCTCTCATTGACTCCCGGTTTCTCTGCAGTGTCACAGTCCCCCAATTCTGCCCCCTGGGCTCATTGTGACAGGAGTTTGTAATATTTTCATCAAGAGTCATCTTCCTTTCAACCTGAAGATGTAGGACTGGGATGAGGACCTGTGACTATGGGTGATTTCATTTTCTTTCACCATTTCTGGATTTTCTCTAATGAGCATGGGCAGCTTTTGATTGAGAAACATTAAATTTGATAGTCTTAAAACCAGCAAAACCATTTTTAATGAAATGTCACGCTAAGCTCTTTAATTTCATTCTTTTGTGATAAATTCTAATGATGAGATGAGAGTTCTAAACAGAAGAGACCCTGGTAATCCTCGCCATCCTTCCTTATTATCCTTTTTTATTCGGCTTGAAGAGTGTTACTTGTCTGTTTTTAGAGGATATGTTAATTGAGTGCTCAGTATTCATTACAAATAATCTTGTCTGTTTTCTTGTCAAGATTTTGAAGGCCCTTTTGCTCTTTCTGTAAAAGCTAAGCAGACTGTATTAACTTCTGGTTTAATTTAAAAAACGAATGTGGAACTTGTTGGCGCAACACCTTAAAGAATTGCATGTTTAATAATTGGAAGGCTTTCCATCAGATTTGTCTCCAGTCTGAATTAATAATGTTGCTGACTTATTGTTTTAGAAGACAGAGTCCTTGACCTGCTAGGTTGAAAGAATTGTGACTGCTCTGAACCTTTGTGGGTCCTTTAGCTGCGCAGTATCCCCTGTGAATAATTAGAGGTATTTGAAGGTATTGCGGTAGAAGCCAATTTGTGTCTTTCACTTTGCATATTGTTGAAGCCTCATGAATTAATCATAAGCGGGCAAAAATTAACTTCTTCAGACACATATTTTGATGGGTCATGAGGGAGAATGTAAAGTGATCTGTAAAATATTCTACTGATTCTCTAAGTATTAAATTATTATACCTACAGGCTAATTTCAGGGGGAAAAAGAGTTTTTCTTCCTCCTTCAATATCTGAGTAGCAAATTTAAAAAAAAAATAAAGGATTTTTATTGTCTAAGACCGTTAAGAGGACTATACATGAGCAATTTTATGATTTCCTGACAACTAGATTCGTGTGTTTAGCTGTTGTTTTTAATTTTTCCACTTTTCATTTTACTTTTAAATTATTTGAATTCTGGATTCTTTTAATTACAACTTATACTTCTTATTGATTTAGTGAAACGTGAAACCAAACAAATAATACATCTTTCTCACTTGAGGGGCCTAAAGTCCCAAATCAAAGTAATACAGATTTCCATACTTATTTAAAAATTTCCATTAAAATTTCCCCCCTTTCTGTTTTTCTGTTTTTCAGCCAATGAAACTGAAATTGCATTCTTCTGTGAAGAAGATTATAAGAACTACAAAGCTAATCCCGTTTCATGCTGGTGAAAACCTCACAGGGCTTCCTTTTTTACATACCTGTATTAAGCTCTTTATTCCACTAGTGAGTTTTTGAAATTGTCAAATAAACTTAAAAAGTTAATCCTAAGCTCTGCTATTTGAGCTAAAATCTGTGGTGGTTTCTCTCCTGCAGGTCTCATATTTTTCTTTTTCCTTTTTTGTTATAAAAGGGTATATTTATAAGAACATTTGATTTTTTTTAAGTGAAATAAGTAGTCATTCAAAAATCCTCACAGAATGTTATTTTTTCCATCATAATTTGTTTTTCTGAAATTCGGGGATCTTTTGGTGACTTGTATGTTAGTTTCTTTGAAAAGATTTTATGACTCAGGTCATTCTGTTTATTTTGTACTTTTTCCATAGTTTTCCATTAGACTTGCTGTTCCTCTGTTTGCTAGCAGAGATGGTAGAGTCTCTTAAAGCCATCAGTACCATCTTTTGACTCACAGTGATACACACCACCATCCATAACACTAATTGTTTGTATATTTGGGGAGGTTTTCTTATGTACCAAAGTTTCTTCTCTTCTTCATTTAGTATTTTAACTTTACAGTTAACATTGCTGGAAAAAAAAACATTTTCTTTTCCATGAGCCGTTTTTCCTGACTTCAGTAACAAACTCAATAGAACCAAATTCATTTATTTGGAAACAAAAGATAGATGATGTTTGCACTTCTGGAAGAAAAATTTTCATGGAGAACAAGTGTAAGTCATGGAAGTACAACTCTACAAAGTACATAGTATTTTCAAAATAACAGTACTTTTGGTGCCTGATGGTGCTGACCTCTGCACCTGAAGTGTAGTGGTTCTGAAGTTGGTTGTGGAGATGTTGGGTTCAGAGAGCTGGGTTCTTGGGTTTCCCAGGCAACTTTCCCATGAGAAAGAGATGTTATTTTTTTTTTAAAGATTTATTTTATTTATACAAGAACCGGGGTACAGGCCAGATGTGCGGGTGGTTGAGAGGATTCACCAGAGACAGAGCTGGGAACAGAACAGGCAGAATGACCATAATACACTGCTGAGGGGAGCAGCGGGCGAGACAGCAGAGGTCTGCTGTGCCATGTGGGTTTCTCTGCAGCCAGCCAAGATCGAACCGGCACTGCAGAGGCTGCAGACAGCTTCACAGTGCTGTGCTCAACCACCTGCGCCACCAGGGGAGGCCCAAGAAAGAGACGTTAGTTATATTCAAAAGGGAAGCTTTGTTATAAAAGGGAAGGAAAGGTAAAGAATGCTTGCACAAACACAAGCAAAAGGCTCCCGACAGGGACAAGTCTGCTGAAAGAAATCTGCATAGTCACAGGCAGGCAAGCTTGGGAGGAGAGCTGCCTCTGCTGCTTTGCAAAGGGAGAAAGTTGGTTTTGAGGTGCACCTGCATAGGCACAGGTGGGCAGAGGGCTGCTGTCCCTTGCCAGTGCAGAAATTGCACTGATCAAGTCTTCTCTTTGGGAAGGGCTCATTCCTTTGTGGAGTTGTTGACTTTTGTTAATTTTGAATAACTGTAGAATTTGAAAAGGACCAGAGATTCTGCAGTGGTCCTCAATCTTCATTTCCTCTTTCCTCTGGGAGGGGTTCATCCCTTCTAGGGTATGGCTAGGTTGATATGTAAGGACCAGTGATTCTCTGCAGTGAATCTCAGTCTCTTTCTCCCACCTCTGGTCTGCAACTCATGATATTTTCTATAGCAGTCTGATAATTGCTCTAGAAGTTGGTGCCCAAGGATTTCTTGTTTCTATAGCTAGTTTAATGACTTTGTTAATCTCTTCTACCTCCACCTCCAACACCTGACATTGAGTGAGCCAGGTTTCTAGCGTTGGTTTCTTTCCAACTTTTCCTTCACAAGTTCCAAAGGGACCTCTAGCCAGAGTGTTATCTAGTCAGAACTCTCAGAGAGGCTAGTTGATTCTAGAATCCTGAAGGGTTACTCCCTGAAACCTTAAAATTACCAGTAGAGTGAAGTTGTTTAATTATGGTGGATGTTAACTTAGGAAAACCTATTCTTTTTGAAAAATCACCTTTGGAAGTCTGGTTAACTTAATCAGAGGATTCTTTGCTTTGTCGCGCATTCTGTCCATAACATGCCAGAAGAGCCAGAATGACTGGTAGAATCTCTGGGACTTGGTGAATGCTGTGTGTAGAAGTGCAGGAGAAGGAAGATGGAGAGATTTCAGGGCTTCTTGCTGGAGTGAATGTTTGGATTAGTGGAGACAGCATTAACCCATTAAGGGATTTAGTAAGTAGAACAGGTTAAAGCATATTCCATTTGTTTATTTTGCAAACATTCAATTTACTTTGCTTTTCTTTATAAGTAAAATTAAATGTATCTTTATCTGTTTATTTTCATTTTAACAAATGCAAAAATAGCTATTATAATTATTTTGGGGAAGGTGTATTTATTTTCCTTGAGTGAAAGTTACATATGGCTTTTCCCAACATATGAACACAGATATAGAAATATTATAACTTAAAGGGTTTTTACCAGAAATGGAAGATTAGTTCAAAACTATAGGAGACCTATCAATGGAATTCACAAAATCTGAGTATTAAAGAAGAGATTATGCTTCTCTCAATTGATGCCAAAATGGTATTTGATGATATGCATCCCCAGGCATCAGTGAAACTTAGGACTAGAACAAAATACCCTTAACCTGGCAAAGTAACTCACAGAAAACCTCCCTAAATTTAAGCAAATCTATTAGCTATGGGACAAAGATGACTGCTGTTTGCCAGTACTATTCAGAATTGTTATGTAGGTCTTATTGTTCATTGCCAGTATAAGAAAAGTAATACAATTCACAGATATTGGAAAGGAGGAGACAAAACATTCATTTTCAGACAATATGATTGCAAGAGAATCCACTGACAGTTGTGAGAATTACTAAGATTTCAGGAGTGCTTGATAATGAACCTAAAATGAATAATGGTACAAAACCTGCAGAATGTTACCAGAGGATGGAGAAGATCTAAATAGAGAGATATGACATGTTCCTTCAAAGGTGTAAAGATGTAGATTTATGCCTAATCATTTAGAATAACCTCAATCAAAATCCCAAAAGGATTTATATTGGAATTTGTCAAACTGACTTTAAGATTCATTTAGAAAAGTAAATATATAGGAATAACCCAGACCCATTTAAAAAATAAGATGGAATTGCCTACCAAGTGTCAAAAATGTCTTTTGAAACTTTGGTTATCAAAACAGATTGGTAGTGATACAGAAATAGACAGAAATCAGTGGAATAGAATATGGAAGCTGAAGAATGGGAGAAGTTACTTGTACTTATAAAGTAGGCAAAGGATTGATTTCCAGAATCTATGAAGAACTCTTGTACGCTAATGAGAAAAGGACATGTAACAGGAAAATGGATACATGGGAAAGAAATTCATAAAATGGGAAATATATGGGTAATAAACATGATAACATCTCCTGTTACTTATGGAAATTCAAACAACAGGCTACCATTTTCATTTAACTAGTTGGCGAAAAGTAAAGGGTTTGATAGTAAATATTGGCAGCAATGTTTTACTGCCAGTGGAAGTAAAACAAAAAGCAATTTGGTGTGGTATCTATTAAAATAATAAATTTGCATATTCTATTGATCCAGCAGCTTCACTTCTTAGAATCTGTCCCAAAGAAACCCTCTCATGCCTCAGAAGGAGGCATTTTTAAGGGAAATCATTGCAGTATTAATATAATAGAAACACTGTAAACAACCTAAATTATGTTAATATGAGAGTAGCTAAATAAACTATGATCTACCTATATTCTGGATTCCTATTTAATCTAAAACAGTGACGGACATCCATGTTATTTACTAACATAGGAAGGTCTTTGCAGCATATGGGTGGAATTGCATAGGGACTCAAATTTTGATGTCATTTGTTTTTTAAAAACATGACATAATAATATATGTATAATGTGTAGATGTACTTTTGTCTATGAATGTACATACTATATACCCAGCCACACAGAATAATATATACCAAATTGACAACATTGATTACCTTTGGGGAAGGAACTAGAAATAGGTAAAAATGGTAAAAAAAATCTTACCTAACTTTACAAGGAGAAACTATTTGTTAAGAGTTAGTAAAAACAAAATTACTATATGCATAGAAATTAAAAGAAAAAAACATCAGGCTATTATTGTTATAACATTTTGGCGTATTTCATCTAGATAATTTTTTCAATTTTTTTAATGTCTCTGATCTTTTTGATGTGTTTTATGTTATACAAGTAATATTTGCTTCTTAAAAATAACCAGCTCTGAGGTAAAGAAGTAAAAATCTCCTTCAAAGGTCAGTCACCACTTTGCATACCTTGGTATTCATACTTTCAGAGTTCTTTTTTTTCTCTGCACATATATCATTATTTAAACATGTATTTTTTTAAAGATTTATTTATTTATGCATACAAAAGCTGGGGTACAGGCCAGCTGTGGGGGGTGTGTGTGTGAGAGGATTCACGAGAGACAGAGAGACAGAGTGGGGAACAGAACAGGTAGATCAACCGAAGCACACTGCTGAGGGGAGCAGCAGGCAAGTCAGGAGAGGTCTGCTGTGCCATGTGGGTAGCTCCCTGGCTAGGGATCGAACTTGTGCTGCAGAGGCTACGGAAAGCTTCATAGGTTGTTGTAGGGTAAGGTAAAAGGTATCAGGCTTTTCTGCCCTCCCGCCATCAGGATAGATGAGGGAACCCTGTGATCCTGAATGCATGCCTGATGGCGGACACCTGAAGTGGGTACACCTGCGCTAAGACTGTGCTTTTTAAGGGTGGCGTCAAGGGGACGCCAATAGAAGCCAAGAAGCCAAGAAGCCGAAGAGAAGCTGAGAGAGAAGCAAAGAAGCAGAAGCAGAGAGCCCAGAGAGATTATGGATTTGCTGGGGGCTGGGAGGCCTGCCGGCTTCCCAGCCCCCCAGTATCCCTGCCTGCCATATGCCTGGTAATCCCAATAAAAAACCTGCAAAAGCCACTGAGGACTCCGACTCCTTCTTTACCCGGTCTGCTGGATATTAGAAAACCTGCACTGTGTCTATTCCTGCCCCTACAGTTGTGTCTTAACCCCTTGTGCCACCAGGAAGGCCCTAAACATGTATTTTAAAGCATTATCATTTTATTTGTTTAAAACATCATTCCCTTAAACATTGTTAAGAAGTCTTATTTTCTTTTTAAATAATCACTGTGTGCCAGATACTGAATGTGTTTTATATCTGATCTTTTTTT